TGGCTTCCCGCTTGAATGACTGCTAGGAATTCTTTTTTAAGCTTTAGTACCATTTTCTGTTCCAGCTGCATATATCTGTTTGACTTCGATTGTCCTAACCGATCTACTGGGATTGGAGCGGTTAACAAATGCTTTTGGAATCTTGGTCGTTAGCCGTAGTATTGCATGCTTTATAGGTACTCCAGTTGCTGGTTAGTTTTTTTTCCTTTTGGAAACATATTCCTCTTGACTAGTATTGTATTATTCTCACAAAATCGTCAAGCACTTCACCATACTTTACGTTCATGATGTAGAAATGAGGACAAGGTGTTGCAAAGTTAATGCTGCTCATGAAAAAAGTTAAGAGAAATAAACAAAGCCGCTTGTTTTTGTCTTTTTAGGGTTTGTGTATGAAAAGACTTCATCGTATACTGCTTCATTCTGCTTTGCTGGCGTTTTGATATTACTGGGTGGATTTTGTACGGTTGTAATATCTATACAACTGTTAATGCAGGAAAAAAAGAGTAAAAAAGTTGCTCTAACAGGTAAAAAATTATTTTTGCTGCAACGATAAACCGATGTATTCCGCTATTGCTTGCTGGTAAAAGGGTTATTTTTTTGATACTTTAACTTATAGTTTTTTCTGAGCTTCTTTTCGTTTATTTGGCTAATTAGTTTTATTTTAGGTGGAAAAAAATTAGACGATGGAAGCGATGCAGAAAATAAAAAAAACACAAAGAATGGACCTGCGCCAAAGCAGTAAAGCAATAGACTTTCCTTCTTTGTGTTTCGTTTTTTATTTTTCTCATTTCTCCTTATTTTTCTGATTGAATAGAAATCAATCAGAATACGGACTTACACCAAATGGATTACACGTGAAACTTCTGGTAGTTCTATTGAACAACACTGGTCGGCCAGCTAATGAGTTTTATTATTTAGAGCTTTGTTTAAATTGATGTGAATTTTAAGTTTTTTGAAATGCATTGCATAAAGATTAAAGGTTCGTTGATTATTCTGCTGTTACATCAGTTACATTGTTTTAAAGTGCTTATTAGACGTCTTCTTGGACGAAAAATTTATTTCAACTTGTTGCTGCAGTTCTACCGTATTTGCAGTGTTTAGTTCAAGCAGTTTTTTAGACTCGATGAAGTTTTTTGTGTTTTCTTCGTTGTTATAGATTATTTTTTTTAGCGTATTTTGATACCTATATTTATTATTCAGAATGCATTTATAAACATATAACTCGTTAAATATTTACAGTTAAAGACTGTATAAGTTTCAAATTTGCGATACATATACGGTGACAGTAGCATAGTATTCTGAAGCTGTGCGCCTATTTTGATGACAGCTCAGTAGATGAGAAACGAATGAAAAGAGAAGTTGTTAACCTTTTTTGGTGGTAGAAATCTAATATTTTAGCTGCATATGTGATAAATCTAAACAGTCTTTACAAATCGTGGTATGTTTTCAGTGATTTTTGTAACTATATACCGTTTCTTATCTTTTGTAAGTTCAGACGATAGATAAGTTCAGTTATCACTTTCATATAACTTTGTTATATTTTATTTCTTAATCTCTTTTTCTTGTTTCGGTTCTGTTTTTGTATGCACCGGTGATGTTGTCGGTCATAAAAGAATAATGCTGTAATGAGTATTTTGTTTACTAATTCTAAAAAATTTGAAAAAAAAAA